ACACTCAACAGTGCCTCAGCAGGAAAGGTCTGGGTAAGATCTGTGGGATACAGATCTGGAATACTGTAGGATACTGAGCCTGGAATCGCTGGAGCTTAAAGGGGCAGGGCCCAGCAGGAAATACCTCTGCAGCAGCAGATAAAACCTGAACCAGAGTAGGGCCAGGCAGACTCCTTCAGCTCCAAGAGAAGGCACCAGCTGTGAGAAGTGGGCCCCTCTCTTCCCTTGCTATGGGGAGGGGCATGGGCCTGGGGACTAAGAAACCACCAGAGAGCTTCCAGGTTAGTCAGCTAAGGAAACTTTCTCAGACTCTGGGGTCAATTGTGTGTGTGTGTTTGGGGGGGGGGGGGAGACACTCGGGGAAAGGAGGGTTAGGTCTGGGAGGTGGAGCCCCCAAATTTAAAAAGGAACTTCAGCTGGCCATGGTTGCTCAGTGGTCGGCACCAAGCTATGAACCAGGAGGCCATGGTTTGATTCCCGGTCAGGGCACAGGTCCAGGTTGTAGGCTCAGGTCCCAGTAGGGAGCATGCAGGAGGCAAGTGATGATTTCTCTCTCAACAGTGAGGTTTCTATCTCTCTCTCCCTCTCTGAAATCAATAGGAATATATTTAAAAAAAAAAAAAAAAAAAAGAAAACAGCCCTAGCCAGTTTGGCTCAGTGGATAGAGTATCGGCCTGGGGACTGAAGAGTTCTGGGTTTGATTCCAGTCAAGGGCACATGCCTGAGTTGCAGATTCAATCCCCAGTAGGGGGTGTGCAGGAGGCAGCTGATCAATGATTCTCGCTCATCATTGATCTCTCTCCCTTCCTCTCTGAAATAAATTAAAATAGTATTAAAAAAATGAAAAATAAATAAAAAAGAACTTCCTTCTCCCTCCTTTCTCCTTTCCCCCAACCCCTCCCTGAAAAGAGAAGCCCAGGGCTCTCCTTTTTCACGCTAACGGATGGCGGGGCTGAGGGGAGTATAGGAGGAGGATAGGTGAAATGGGAGACAAAGAGCAAAGTAGGGGAGTCTTTGTTGCTGGGAAGCAACAATAATTCTGGGGCAGGATGGGGAGGTGGGCTCTACTTCAAAAGTTAGAGACAACATCCAGGCGTGGCCCTGCCTCCCAGCACTGCAGGCGGAAGACCTCAGGATTGGGGTGGGGAGCAAGGACAGCTCACTCCATCCTCTCCTCAGCCACCCTTTCACCCTTCCCCGGCTGGCCCAAGGCCCAGAGTGATTCCTGTTAACTTCCCTGCAAACTACCTAGTGGCCTGGTCCATTCCCTTCCGCCCCCACACCCCAGATCACTGAGAGAGGCCTCGGGGACGGGAGAGGTGTCCCCACTCTAGCAACCACCCTGTCACCACCTGGGACGCCAAAGGTGAGGGAGCACACTGGCAGTCTTGGGCCTGTTGCACAGGGGCATGCCCATGTGCAGTGTGATGGAATGGCTGCAGACACATGTCAGCCTAGGAGGCCATGCTCTGTAGGGAGAGGCTGTGGTTCACGTGAAGGAGACCAGAAGGCAATTTCCTGGAGCCTCGCTCCTCCAAGTGCCACATGGAGAGATGCTAGGATGGAGCAGGACACGGAGCTGTGGTTCTGAGGTGGGGGGCGGGGAAGCAGCAGCTGGGTACCTCCAGGCTGGGCTAACAATGGGATCAAGCACCAGCCTGCACTGTTTTTGAGGGACAAAGGACAAGAATTGGGAGGGGGTGGGGTGCATCTGACCAGCCTGGTCCCCAGCTGTCCACCCCATGGACAGAGGTGCTGGAGGTCCCTGGAATATTACCCCTCACGGGCCAGCTGCTAGCCCCTAGCTCAGGGGTATTAAAGCACAAAACCAAAAACCTGCCCCACTCATTCATGCCAAAGACAAAGAGAAAACCTTGTTTGTCTTTTGGCTAAGCTGAGGGCCCCGCTCAACCTAGCAGCTGGGCTCCGGGCATGTGCAGGCATGTATTGTGTGTGTGCTTGCATGTGCCCCTGTGTGTATTCTGGAAACACAGACTGTTAACCCTCTGATCGGTGGCTGCTCGTGGCCCGGGGGCTGGTAAGAAAGACTCCCTGCCCCGGGGATGGAGGCCCTGGGAGGCTGAGTCCAGGCCAAGGAGTGAGGCCTGGAAATCCCCGTGGCCAGAGCCAGTGGGTCCGCCAGGCGAAGTGATCCTAGCCTTTCTGCTTCTCCAGCTCCAGGAGGGACCCCGAGAGCCCAGAACCCTATAGGGCATGAAGACAGAGAGGCAGGTGTAGGGTCATTTCCAAGGCTCTTAAACTCCTGGGCTCCTTGAGGACAAGAGTCAAGCGTGAGAGGTTCTCGCCACCTTGTGGGCATATGTGGTACTGCTAAGCCCTGACAACCAGGCTGGTGGGGAGAGGGGAAAAACTGCTGGAACATCCACTAGACCAGTGGTCGGCAAACTCATGAGTCCACAGAGCCAAATATCAACAGCACACGATTGAAATTTCTTTTGAGAGCCACATTTTTTAAACTTAAACTTCTTCTAACGCCACTTCTTCAAAACAGACTTGCCCAGGCCATGGTATTTTGTGAAAGAGCCACACTATAGGGGCCAAAGAGCCACATGTGGCTCGCAAGCCGCGGTTACCAACCACGGCACTAGGGGTTGGGCTAGCGCTGACTATCCTCACACTTCCATGGGCACAAGGGGTCTGGTCGGGAAATCCACTCAATACCCACCCAGGCCGGCTCAGCCCCACCTGCAGAGGCAAACCTGACGTCCTCAGAGGCAGTCAGACCATGTTTGAAACAACTTGAAGGAAGGTTTGCAGGAAGAATGTCAGTGCTCATCTGTTCTAAGGAAAGCCCAGGAAGGGAAGGGGCCCTGTCTGAGACCCCACAGCACCTCCACCACAGAGCGAAGGTAGACGGAGGGTTGTTGACTTCAAGGTTCATGCATTTCCCACAGGTCCGGTGAGTCCAAGACAAGGTGTCCAGTCTGAACCCCGGACCTACCGAGGCCCAGAACAGGAGCGGCCCAGTGAGAGTTTTTGCCTCGGTTTAGCCGGCGGGAGGGCAACTGGGACACGAGGAAGAGATGAAGCTGCAAGTGGGGCTCTGGGCTGGTCTGGGTCTTGGAATTAAAGGGCGTCTATGGGCCAAATACTGTGCTTAACATTACCAACAGTGGGGTATTTAATACCATGGCCCTTTAAGGAAGGCACCTGGTAATCCAGTTTTTAACTTGCCCTGGGTTACAGCTGCTAAGTGGCAGAGCAGGAATGTTGTGTATAGCAATTTTGACTCCAGTGAGTAAAAAGGCTTTGCTGAGTGAAAAAAGCACGATTTGCTTGCTCCCTCCTAGGAAACCCAGCAGGCCAGCTCCAGCCAGAGCTCCTTTTCTCCAGAAGGCATGGCCTCGGTGCGCCCTCTGCTGTGCACAGGAGGAACAGAGAGAGTTCCCTCCTGCTGGGCCAGACCCAGGGCAGAGTCCTGGAGATGGCTGGCAGGGACCATGCTCCCCTCCCAAATATAGGCCAGGAAGGGGCTGGCTGACTACCACTGCAGAGCCCCCAACTTGTCCATATCTATTCACCTGCAGAAGGGTGGGTCTGGTCCTATCCCTGATTTCTCAAGGCTCCCTCTCCTGGAATCTTGCCCACCTTCCCCTAAGGCATGTTGGTCCTAAGCCCATTCCGGGACCAGGATCACGGACCAGGTGGGTTTAACCAGGAGGGCCCACAACAGGCCCCTGAGGAGGTGGGATCCATTCAGAGCATTGCCATGTGGGTAAGGGGAAGACTTGGGAATCCAAGAGAGCCAGGGAAAGGACCCTCCCTAAAGGCTGGATCCTCATGAATCACACAGGGGTGAGGAAAGGTTAGTCAAGACTGGGGTCCCTATGGGCAAAAGAGCATGAAGGAACAGGCATTTGGGAGTGCCCATCTTGGCCAGCTTTGTTTGAACCTGGGTTTGCCACTGGGTGGGACTCAATGAGAAGAGGCGTACAGCCCACAACTCCTCTGGAAATAAGGCAGCACCCCAAGATTGGGCTAATTGCCTCAGGAATACCGCTGGGCCCGGCAAACCAGGGGATTCGTCACGGGCCCTGAATCAGAGGCTGGACTGTAATCCAGACACTAACAAAGGACAATTCACACTTTGTGGGTTTTTTATTTATTTCACTTAAACAAGCAAAACTGCTTATATTTAATTATACAAAGATATTTCTAACATAATTAGCATGAAAAATCAAAAAAACTTAGGATAGTATAAATAACAAAAAGGTATTCAAATATTCAGTTCAAAGGTACAGCATTTCAAGAATGTCTTTTCCCATAATAATTTTCTTTAAAAAGCCCCATGATTTGGAAACATTTTGGCATTATAATGAAAGAGTATCAAGTTACACAACAAAAAGCCCTGCTTTTATGAAATGCACGAAAAGTTATAGAAGCACACTTGACTGAACACTTTATTGGTATCTGCCTTTGACTTGTACAAAAACTCTCAGCCCGCCAGCCCCGATCTGGGGAACAAACAGAAGGTTCTAGAGGGAGAAGGTAGAAGAATGAGGCGTTGAAGTTCAATAGGTCTTGTTACCCTGAGTAAAGGGAATCCATGTAGGCTGGCACTCCGCTGTCCTCCCTCCCCGCCAGGCCATCTGTCAATCTACTGGGCCCTCCTTTTTGAAGCAGCTTGCCCCCCTTTCCCCTGGGCGGGCCATGGAAGGAGATCCAACCCCTTCTCTTCAGTGTTTCAGCTTCTTGTCCTACTTTGCCATCCTTAGAATTCTATTCCCGGAGAGAGAACACCAATGCCCATTCACTTCTCTCACCTAACTCCCATAAGCCCCCCCTCCCCCTAACTCAGGGCGCTCAACTGACCTCACAGCGGGCTGGGTGTGAGAGCAGGACAGTAGGCCTGAGTGCTTATCAGTGTAAAGCAGAGCTGGCGGTGCCATTGTGGCAAGATGTGAGGAGGCGCAGGGCTTCTGGGTGTGCCCGAAAGAGGAGGGGTTGGGGGGGAGCCCCAGGAAGCCAAGGGTATGGGCTTATTTATCATAGAAGTCAACGTGGGCTCCAGACGTGAACGTATCTTTTTGAATCACATCTAGCAGTTTCTGGGCGGACATCCTGCAATCCACCAGCTCCCCCTTTGTCTTCAGGTCCTGCAGCTTTTTCCGCAACTCTGGGTCCAGAGAGTTCTCCCGGGCCGACTGCTGCATGTCTGTGTCCAGGGGCCCTGGGGGATAAAGAGCAGAAGATGAGGGGGGCTCTGCTGTGGGTGTGAAGTGGGGTGGGGTCAAGCCTGGCCAGAGGCAACACTTTATCTTAGCTACCATGTGTGGTCAGAGTCACCAAAGGCTCCACTCTGTCACGATTGAGCTCAAATCCCAGTGCCCGCTGAACACGGTCCCGCTGGACCAGTGGTCCGCAAACCGCAGCTCGCATGTGGCTCGAGAGTCGCAGTTTGCCGCTCTGTTGACGGATGAGTTTGCCGACCACTGGGATAGGGGCTTAATCGCAAGGAACTACAACAGCCTGTAATTACTGGAATCGAGAGTCTAGGTCAGCAGTCGGCAAACTCATCCGTCAACAGAGCGGCAAACCGAAGTTTGCGAGCCGCAGTTTGCTGACCACTGGTCTAGACCATCCTGTGCACAACCAAACCAGCACCTCCTCCTAAAGTGATGTCAGTGAACTCTTACAGGCACTTCCCGTTTCTCACATCAGAACCAGAGCACCCCCAGAATCTGGAGTTAATGGCCTCAGGGATGGAGTGTAAAGCAATCTCGTGGCTGGAAAAGCCAGTCTCCTGATCCCTGAATGTCTTTCAACTACCGTGTTTCCCCGAAAATAAGACATCCTCCGAAAATAAGACCTAGCGTACGGAAAGATAAGACATCCCCTGAAAATAAGACCTAGCGCAACTTTGGGAGAAAAAATTAATATACGATACTGTCTTATTTTCGGGGAAACAGGGTACCTGTGCATTCCTGGTATGTGGGGACTTGCTATAATACTTTGCCCAACAGTGCCCGTCCCTCTCGCCCCCACTGTGGACACCTCTTACAACCTTCTTTCAGAGACTGATGAAACCACGACCTTCATTCCGGCCCTGGCAGCCTGGCCAAAAAAAGTTCAACTTCCTCCTAATTCCCAGAGTCCACTGGGAATCTAACCCAGTCACATGGCAATCTGGAGTCTGCTCCACTCCTGGCTGTGGTTTTTATTTGCTCACAGTTGACTGAGTAAGCCCTAGGCTGAGCTCAGAGTGGGGGCTGAGCTGAATGCTGGCTGGAAGAGTAACTGAGTATGTGTCGGGGAACTGGGTCCTGGAGAGCATGAGGAAGCAGAAATGGCACTGATCGTGAATTTGGAGGTGAAGTTTGATCCTGGCTCTGAACTTTGGCCAGGTCATTCTACCTCTTTCCCTGAAGGGCGCCAGGAGGAATAGGCTACTGGGTCTCTAAGTTGCTCAGACATTAAACAATAGCTGTCACCACCTTCTAATTGCAGCAGCCTCAAGTCTCGCTTTTAAGAAAGGCATCATGGGAGAGTCGTGAGAAACCAAGCATCACAAGGTCCCCAGCATTTTAACTTCTGTGAAGGCCCTATCTTATTTACCCCAGAATTTCCCCACCCCCAACCCAGTGTTCCAGCACAGTTCAGGCTGATAAGGCCAGCATTCAACAATGTGTGTGCGCTCTTCATTCAACTGACATTTCCTGCAGACTGACTCAGTGGGGTGCTTTGCTAGGAGCTGGAGACAAGCGGGCATATTCCCTGCCTTCAAGGCTTTCTTATCAAGATAGAGTAGACAAATGAAGTTACTATATAACAATCAGAAGGGCTAACAATTAGATGGCACTTCCCAATGAGGGATTTTCACATAAATTACCTGATTCAGTCCTCCTAACTGCCCTGAGAGACAGTAAAATCTTGAGTTTCACATGAGGAAATGGGGTACAGGCTAGAATTCAAGCCCTGACTCTCAAACTAATAGCTCAGACTTTCTGGTCCCATTCTCCAGTTCAGGCAGCTCCCTACTCTCTCTTCCGACCCTCTTACTACGGCTCCCTGCTCCTGCCAGGTCTAACCTCACTGGTTCCTTTATTTCCCTTAAGGCAGTGTTTCCCAAACTTTTGACATATGTGTACCCTTCTATAATTTTCGTAACGCTGAGTACCCCTCGTACTCATGAGAACGTAGAATTAGGCGCAGCTAAGCTCGGTGCAGTGCATATCCCCACCAAACTCCGGTGCAATACCCCTACCAAACTCTTCCCGTACCCCTGGGGGTACGCATACCACACTTTGGGGAACACTGCCTTAAGGAATGATGGCTCATGATTCAGGGAATACTATTATTTGGAGGGACCAGACCAGGCCCCTTGCCCAGCCCCCAGAGGGGAACCAGCTGGTTCTGGATGACAGGGATGGCAGTAACGTCCCACCTACCTGGAGCATAGCTCAACACCCTCACACCAGGCTCCTCCGCGGCCAGGACCTTGAACATCATCTCCCGGGCGGCCTTCCCCGCACAGTACAGCGCCCAGCCCTTGAAGGGCTGCAGGGCGCAGAGGGAAGAGACGTTCACCACAGTCCTGCTGAGGCCAGGGCTGTCTGGGAAGGCCCTCAGGACGCTGGAAGTCAGGCAGAGCATCGAGGTTAAGTTCAGAGCCCAGTAGCTGTTGATCTCGGCAGCATCAGCCAGGGAGGCGAAGCCTTGGGACACATCCCCGAGCGTGCCTGAAAAACCAGACCTTCAGAATCACCCAGTGCATGCGGACTCTCTCCCCTCCCAGCCCTCTCCACACTCCTCCGGACACTCCTTTCCCCTCCAGACCTATCGGAGTGGCCGTCCTAGTGCTCCTGAAGGCGTCTCTCCCTTGGCAGCTCTGCAGACACACACACACCGGGGGCGCCCACTCACCCCAAGCTGCAGAGGGAGAAGGCCCTGGTCTGGGGGCTGGGAGAGAGCTCTGGGGCCAGTTGCAGGAGCGGGAAATTGCCTACTACGGGGAGACCCCACGCCCGGCCTCCGGCCTCCGCCAGGGGGCGCTGAGCAGGACGATCGGGAAAGTTCCACTTGGGCTGCAGGAAAGCCTGGCCTTTCGCCGGGAGGGCGGAAGGCGGAGGGAAGGTGGGAGGGGGGCATGGAAGGAGCACAGCTAGGGCTTTGGGGCGCCTTTCTTGACTCCCGGGGGCGGGGACAGGGAGAGGGAACGGGGCGCCGGGCATTCCCAGCGCCCGCACGGGGAGGGGGGGAGAGAAGGGGGATCGGGGCCCCGCCGCCGGCGTCCTACCCGCGTTGTTGATCAGCAGCACCCGCTGCAGCCCCTCGGGCCGGGGCAGCCCGCGCACGGCGTCCACCAGGCGCTGCAGGCCGGCCGCGGCGCCCAGGTCGGCGGCCACCCGCACCACGCGCGGCCCGGGCCGCCCGGCGCCCAGCTCGGCCTCCAGCCGCCGCAGCGCCTCGTCGTTGCGGGCGCTCAGCACGAGCACGGAGCCCGGGGAGAGCAGCGGCGCCAGGAGCAGGGCCAGCACCCGGCCGAAGCCGCGGGAGGCCCCGGTCACCACGCACACCGCGCGCCCCAGGCCGCCCTCCGGGCCGCAGGCGCCCTCCATGGTCCGACTCCGCCGCCGGCGCGCAGGTGCCTGGGCCCCGGGCGGACCGGCCGCGCAGGGGGCGGCGGAGACCCCGCCCGACGGGGCGGTCCCTCCCTCTGGGCCGCGGGCGGCTGAAGGGGAGGACCAGCTCCGGGAGAGTCCCAGTGGGCGGCTCCAGGAAAGGGCTGAAGTCCAGCCTCCCACGGGAAATCCCAGCCCGGTGCTGAGCTGGCCCTGCTGCCCCTTCAGCTCCCGCCGGCACGCACTCTGCTCCCAAGTCCAGACCCAACTTCCTCGTGGCCAGGCCAGCTTGCCACGCGGCTGGCACCCTCTTTTTGAAAAAGCGCCTGCACTGTGGCTAGCACCACCCTCTTTTAGCAAAAGCCCTAAATGGCCTAAACCGGTTTGGCTCAGTGGATAGAGCATCGGCCTGCGGAGTGAAAGGTCCCGGGTTCGATTCCGGTCAGGGGCATGTACCTTGGTTGCGGGCACAGGCAGCTGGCCGATGATTCTCTCTCTCGTCCATGTTTCTAACTCTCTATCCCTCTCCTTTCCTCTCTGTAAAAAAATCAATTATATATATATATATATATATATATTAAGGTCACTTAAAAAAAAAAGCCCTAAATGCAGCCCATGCCAAGTTTAGGTTTGGGGTGTCTCCTGGGCTTGGGGAACTCACTGCCCTGTGGGTTACAGGAGGTACCTTCGGGAAAACCACAGTCGCTCCTCCAAGGGATATAAAAACCTCTCCTTCCTTATCAGGCCCTAAGCAAGTTGGTGCCATTTTAGATTTCTTACTCCTCCGTTTTCTAAAGGCCTGTGTACCCGGGATTCCGTACCCACGCATGCTGCACTCTTCCGAGTGGGCAGTTGAGTAGGCAATTGGAGTTACTCCCAGCTTTAAGTTTGTAGAGATGGTCACCCAAGTCCTATCCAGGCCTGTGGTTCAGGAAACTCATATTTTGATCTTGTACTTTTTGTCCATCTGTATTCCTTCTTTTTAAAAAAAAAATATATATTTTGCCAAAACCGGTTTGGCACAGTGGATAGAGCGTCGGTCTGTGGACTGAAAGGTCCCAGGTTCGATTCTGGTCTAGGGCGTGTACATTGGTTGCGGGCACATTCCAGGTAGGGGGTGTGCAAGAGGCAGCTGGTCGATGTTTCTAACTATCCCTCTCTTCCTCTATAAAAAATCAATAAAATATTTTTTTAAAAAGAACATCTTTCTGCAATTTTACTCATTTTAGTCTCTTCCAGTAGAATTCCCACAAATAGTTCATTTGATCTCCTGGATCTACTGCTAAGTCTTTTTATATTTTTATGTGCTATCATATTAATCATTTATCCCTTTCGGATGAATTGTGAGTATTTCTGAGCAGTCTTTTTATACCATTGTAGTTTTTTTATTTTTATTATTTTAGTTTGGTATCACTGTAGCTTCCATCCGCAGTCATTGCCTCCATAGATTCACCTTTTTGAATAAAGGGCTGCAGATGCCCACCACGTGTAGGGATGGAGAATATGCTGCAGTCAAGTTTTATAAGGAAGAAAACCCTACAATTATTTAAAACAGCAACCATGCTGACCCAGATATAACAAGAAATGTAGACTATGAATAAAGGAGAACATGTCAGAGAAAAATTAGATATCCTACACCTGTTCATTGCTTTCTAACCAAATTTCAAAACAACAGACTTCACTTAAAAAATATTTCTACTTCTACTTTTGAGTCCAGGCAAAAATTTAAACAGAACACCTAATCAAAAGTGTTGCTCTAAATTGCTGACTATTTTTTAGTGGTAGAAGATGAAGGATTTTTGGCATTTGTTGAAGAAACAAAAATTGCTTTCATAAAATGTGTACAGTTTTTAACATTAAGATCTGCTGTATATAAAAAGGTTAATGATATTACTTTTAAAAATATATATTTTTATTGATTTTAGAGAGAAAGGGGAGAGGGAGACAGAAAGATAGAAACATCAATGATGAGAGAGAATCAATGAGGATTGAGCCTGTAACCAGGGCACCTACTCTGACTGGGAATCAAACCTGTGACCTCCTGGTTTACAGGTCAACACTCAACCATTTAACCAATGCTGGTTGGGCTAATGATATCATTAAATGTGCTATTTCTGTATCCTGTACATCAGACCCTGCATATGCAGAAACAACCAGAGCCTTAAAAAATATTAATAAGATAGCTCCATGGATTGCTGACAATAAACAGAGTAGATCTTTTCCAGCCCAAAACTATGTGATACTCAAGATACTTTGGAATTGCTTTATGTAATTACACAAGACATCCTAACAGGATAAGGTATCAGTTGTTACTCATTAAGAAGGCCATTTAACCAAAGAAAGCCTTGATATTTTATTTTTCAATAGCAACAGGGCAGGACTTTCTAACAAGTCATAGTAGTTCGAAGATAAATTAGTTTATTTGTTGGAAACTTCTGAAGAAGTAATCAACTCAGTTGTCTTGTGAGGGCAGTATTTCTTTCACTGTGTGAAACCTGCTTTTGGAATGGGAATTTACAAATAAGAGCAGGGGGAAGGCTAGAATGAATCGTGTGGTAACCAATTGGCATTGGAGACATCAATATGAACTCATATTTATCTTAATACAGATACAGAAGGATAAATAGACAAATACTTGTAGATATATGTATACATATATTCCTGAGCTCTGCCCTCTGAGAGGATCAAGAAACAAAGGCACGCCCTAGCCTGTTTGGCTCAGTGGATAGTGTCAGCCTGTGGCCTGAAGGGTCCCGGGTTTGATTATGGTAGGGACACCTGACCGGGTTGTGGGCTCAATCCCCAGTACGGGGCGTGCAGGAGGCAGCCGACCGGTGATTCTCTCTCATCATTGATGCTTCTGTCTCTCTCTCTTTCTCTCTCTCTCTGTCTCTCTCCCTCATTATTCCTCTCTGAAATCAATAAAATAAATAAATAGATAGATAAATAAATAAATAAATACATAAAATAAATAGATAGATAAATACATAAATAAATCAGTAGCCATAAGCACATCCAGTACCCAGATCTTGGTTTCTAATACCAAGAAAAAGAACCAGGGTTTCTTGGAGAAATGGCTAATTCTAGAACTGGTACAGGAAATATCCTGAAGCATCTTGTAGCGCCAGAAGGTTTTAAGAAAAGGCTTAAAAAAAAAAAAAAAAAAAGCACCCACAATGATAGGGGTATGTCAAAGAGAGACATGGGAGACAAGGGAAACCACTCACCATGGAGGAAAGGAGAGGGGAGGAAGGGAATAGGAGAAGAGAGAGAGAGGGGAAGAAAGAATTTTTCTCTTCACAAATAGAGAATACCTATTCTTTTATTATCCAAAGAACATCTATAAAAATCCATCATGTACAGAAAGATCTCTATAAATCCACTAAATTCTGTTAAAACAAAGTAACAAAATGAAAAAAAATAGCAATAAGATGATTTTTTTCAAAAATTCACTTGAACTCTGACTGGTGTTGCTTAATGATTACAGTGTTGGCCTGTGCACTGAAGGGTTGCAGACTGGATTCCCAGTCAAGGGCACTTACTGGGGTTGCAGGTTTGATCCCCAGCCGTGGTTGGACACAATGTGGGAGGCAACCAGTCAATGTGTCTCTCACATCAATGTTTCTCTCTCTGTCTTTCCTCCTCCCTTTCCCTCTCTTTAAAAATTAATAGAAAAAAAGGATCCTTGAGTGATGACTAACAAAATAAAATACATTTTATTTTTACAATTGAGCTATCAGCTGTTAAAGTGTGTATACTTTTTTGGAGGACAACCTTTATGTATAATAGAAAGCAAGAAAAGAAATAGGTGAATCGATGATTTGCCTTGTTGGCAAAAAAAAAAAATTAGAAATCAACTCAGACAAAACAAAACAACAAAAAATAAGCTTTTGGCTCAGCTCATAGCACTGAAAGAGAAAGATGAAAAATCAGGTCCAAATGGTTAGGAACTCTAAGTAGCTCTGGGGTTGGTGAATCAGCTAACAGAAAGCAGAATTCATATATTAGATGAATCTGCTACTAAATGAATCAGCTCCTGGATGAATCAGCTCCTGGATGAATCAGCTACAGCTGTGTTCAGTCTTATAATTTTGGTTAAAATGTAGTTACCATGGAGTGAGCATAAAATTAGCTTAGGTCGGGTTTCATGTCTATTTTTTAATCTAGAAAAGTTCAGTTCATCTTCATTGATGGCTTCACCAAAGGGTATCCAATAAGGAAAGGTTAGTTCCCCAAGAATAGTTGTGTCATCAGCAGGAAGGGCCATGGATGTGGGGTAACAAAAACAATAAAATGTCCATTACATATTTTTTAAATTCTTGCTAGAATGTTCACTGTAGCATTTATTATAGTACCAAGCAGTTATGGGTGTGTGTGTGTGTGTTTTACATCTTGACACCTGGACAAATGAATATGACCTTATTTGGCAAAAGGGTCTTTGTAGATATAAATATAATTAAATGAGTGGTCTCGCTGAAACTGGTTTGACTCAGTGGATAGAGCGTCAGCCTGCGGACTGAAAGGTCCCGAGTTCGATTCCGATCAAGGGCATGTACCTTGGTTGTGGGCACATCCCCAGTTGGGGGTGTGCAAGAGGCAACTGATTGATGATTCTCTCTTATCGATGTTTCTAACTCTCTATCCCTCTCTCTTCCTCTTTGTGAAAAATCAATAAAATATACTTTAAAAAAAAGAGTGATGTTGAGATCAGCCTGGATTATCCTCATGTGCCCTAAATCTGAAAACCTTACAATGGACAGAAGAGAAGACACAGACAGAGAAAGCCCTGGCGTATGAAGTCAGACATTAGAGTAATGCAGCCACAAGCCAAGGACTGCCTGGGGCCACCAGCAGCTGTAAGAGGCATGAAGGACGCTCTCCTGAAGCCTTTGAAGGGAGGGAAGCCCTGCTAACACCCTGACCTCAGATTCTTGCCCACCAGCACTGTGAGAGAATGAATGTCTGTTGTCTTAAGTCACCCAGTTTGTGGTGACGTG